ATTTGTCGAGAAGCAATAAAGGAATCCATGCCAGCCTGAATCCACGAAGTTATGTAAGAAGCCCATTTGTCAACAGAAAGACGAAAGATTTCTACCCAAGGACCATCACGAAGAAAATCACGGAAAGAGTCCCAGTCAGCTTTAAGGTAGTTGTAATATGTACAATGATAGGGGGATTCTGATGATGAAGAAGAATGAGATAATAGTTTTAGAGAGATCAAACAGTGATTAGAGGCACCGAAGGGTGAATGTGGAGAAACTGAACACTGACTAGGATCAGAATTAAGACATAAGTCGAGTAGAGAAGGTAAATGATTCGGGTTGTTGAAAGCGAGTTGAAAGGTTGAGTTAGGAATTGAGAATGTCAAAATGCCTGCAGAGTCACTGACACTAGAGCCAAGCCATTCAGTGTGATGAATATTAAAGTAACCGACAACAATAATATTGGTTGAGGGATGAAGAGAGAGGGCTTGGTCAATATGATCAGAAATAGAATCAAGAAGAGTGCAATCTTAAGATGAAGTACGGCGATATAGAACAAAGAGAAAGGTGATAGAGTGAAGTGGTGCTAAACGAAAGCACATAAAAGAGGGAACTTTAAGAGGGAGCTTCAAATTTCATAAAAACCAAAGAAAACAGAAATGCTGTTTTAGCTCTTGTAAGAAAAGTCAAATGATATTTGGTTTCATGTGCAATTCCAGCCTATTGATCGCTCGTCCATTTATAGATATATTTTCATGACCCGAAGTATTGTTAGCAATCTTTAAAAGTTGTTATTTCTTATTTTCTTTTGAAACTTTGTGAAGAGCATCGTCATCCAAATCTTGGTGGCAAAATATACACATTGTCAAAATTTGTCAAAATTGTTTTATCTGTGATTGTCCACATGATGCGGGACGCAGTTTCAATCTACAAGATCGTCGTCCTAGTTTTTTTCCTAATGTGTTACATGTAATACTGCTTGCTTAAACCCGCTCAAAACTAGCTTTGGCTCTATCGAGTTTGTCTTTATTTGTTAGGGTTGAGTAACATTTTTTATGGCGCAAAAATTGTTTGTTTTATTAAAATTCTACATCAAATTCAAGGAGTGAAAAAAATTCGATGTCGCCATACTTAGCTCTTATAACAGCACAATTAGTTATTTTTTTTAAAGATTCATATGAAGGTTCCGCAACATAATTTGTAATTTTCTGTTTCAGAATCACACTGTTGACTAATGATATATTAAGCAAAATCTAAATGCTTTATCTTTTTTTCTGGTGCAGCAAATTCCATTACTGCCTTTACATTACTGTATGTACATTACAACACTAATATAAGTAATGATAACAATACAAATCATGTTTTAATAATTATTTTAGGAATGTTTAATACAAAACTAGTTAAATAACCAAGAAAATATGTAATCAAAAGAACATCTTTATAAAGGATCATCGATTCTAATCAAACAGAATTTTAAAACTTACATTAAATGTAAATTATAATATAATAATAACATCTCATTCTAAGAGATTTTTTATATATTAGGTTTATCCACCTTGAGCTTCAAAATCTTACACTAGTCAAAAAAAATCGAAACCTCTTTTCTTTTTTAAGCGGCAGTTCAAAATTAACATTCAAAAAACACAAACTTTCAATGATCTACGTAACCGCTCTTCAGTATTCATTTAGCTGAAAACCGCAAAAATTGATTTTATGTAACCAAAAACTCAGCAAAAAGAGTCTCTTTTTAAGTTTACAGTAGCCTGATTGTGTGCACAACATTATATCAAAAGTAATGTATTGAAAATAATGCAATCTTTAAAATAATGCAGTCTAAAATAAATTGTTAATAATGCATTTCTCCAAATTGAAAATAATGAAAAAATAATTAGGATCATCAACGAGATAAGAATAGCATAGAACGTCCGCTAGACATCTTACGTACGCGAGACAATAATTGGGCATCGTGAGGACGTTTTACAGACGTCTGTGCCTATTGGATCTTTACTGAAATATTGAAACAACTTCTTTGTTAACTTCAATATACTTAAGGACCATTTTTAGTTTTAACGATAACAAATGCTATTAAACTCTTCCCTTACTTGTTCCATCAGCCAGTGGTTACAATATTGTTTACATATTTTTATCATATAAATTATGAATTTATTTACTATTGTAAATGCGTTTATAAAAAATAAATAAATGTATAAAACGAAGATTATGCTGTCGGATCAAGGATTCATTCATTTCCAACAGTTTGGTATTTTTTATTTGAGATATTGGTATTTGAAATAAAATGATAAGCAAAATTTTTTTATCGATCAAGTTTATACTTAAGAAGTTTTGCCAATACTCTTGTTTAATCTCAACCTTGTACATTATAGGTAGAGTGGGGCATAACGTGACAGTTATGCCTGAAGCCTTATATCTCAGCCGAAAATAACTTTTTTTCAAATTTTAAATTATTTGTGTTTTATTGTTGTAAAAAAAATTTGATTTTAGAAATACCAAAATGCATCAAAAGTACCAAAATGCATCAGTAAGTTTGCAAAAAACAAAATTTGCGTATTTTCTTAAGCGATACAGCGACAAAAGATTTATCTTGAACTCTTGCGAATTTGCTTTATTTATAAAAAGTTTATATTTTTCAGACAGTACTTTTTATCCTATTTTAGAATCTGATTAAAAAAAAATTTTAGAATTGAATTTTTTGAATAGTACTATTTTCAGTAAATTGACTTTTGTGGGGCATATCCGGACAACATTAGTATTTATATAATTGAGTATAATACTACCATTTCGCAATGCAGTTTACAGTTTGATAATTTAAATTATTGTTGTTTTTTTTCATTTAGAATCAATTTTAGCATTAAGCTTAAAGAATTTCTTTTTTTTATAACTTAACTTCGATGATTAATAGTGTTTAATGTAAACAGAGAAGGATATGGCCTACTTAAATTACACGGCCTGATTTGTTGCATTTTCCGTAAAAAATTAAGAGGCCAGTTTTTTTGCGGCTCAAGTATAAAAACTTCTTTTTGTTATGGTTAAGAGTCTTGTTTGCACTATAGTTGTTTTATTTTTATTTTATTCAAATGGTTTAATAATAGTTAGATTTTCTTTGAGAACTTACATTATTTTGTGCTAGATTTTTTGTTAACTGATTGCCTGCTTCAGTTTATTCCAATAACAAAGAATACTGAAATAGGCTTACAAGATCAAGTAGGCCATGGAGAAGGTAAGAAATTATGTAAGAAAGATCAACCATCCAAAACGGGATGAATTCAGTTTTAGTGGGAGTAAACAGAAACTTAGAACTAGAAGAGCTGCGGATTCATTTGGCGTTTTTAAGTTTGCTCTACATTGGCATATTGCTAATAAACCATCTCATCAAAAATGTTGCCGAACAATTTCAGGATATTCTTTGTGTGATTTATGTGATCCATAAAATTTTCAAATTTAGTAGCAGTTACCAATTTAATAATATATAGGTTAGAGTAGAGCGGAAGTATTTTATAATAAAACACACACAAAAATATTTTACTTTATTTCTTTTTTGTTGTGCATGGGTTATTTTTTTTTGTGGTGTATGGGTGTATGGGCGTTTAGTTTCTATGGATATGTTACTTTTTTGAGCGTTTAATGGCTGAACATATTTAAGCAATAGATAGCCTTCATTTTCCATCATTTTTAAAACTTTACAATTTACAAATAACTGATGCTTTTTAACTGTCCTGTTTTGCCCCACCTACTTGCAAAATGTAAAAGTTTTGCTAGTCTAGAGTTTTGTTACTTTGGTTGTCATAACTTATTTTTAGAAATTTTTGTTTTGTTTTTTTATTTTCTTATATCAATAAATTTTAGGAAATTTATAAAAAACAGTGTTAACTATGATTAGTTTATCCGCAACTAGCATTTGTTTCTTAAGTGTCTCTATATGCCCCGCTCTACCCTAATCTTAATCTTTCATTGAGACGCCGTTTATGCGGCCGTGGCGCAGTGGTTAGAGCGCTTGTTTTATAAGCAAGAGATCTAGTTTCGAAACGAGCTTTGGACATATTTCGCGTCACGGTTAGGAAGGAGGCGTAAACTTCCTGGTTAAATGCACTTCCGCGGTGCTCTGTGACTAGACCGTTAGGTTTTCTTGGGGCACTTAAATCTTCTAGCTCCCTTATTCTTCTTGCTATACATCAATGATCTTCCAAAAGTCTCAAACAAACTCGATGCCATAATGTTTGTAGATGATACTAATTTATTTTATCCAACTACTTCTATCACAGAACTTTTTAAAACTGCAAGTATTGAACTTGAAAAACTTAATACTTGGTTTAAATCTAACAAATTATCATTAAATACAGAAAAAACCAACTACATTCTATTCCATTCCAATCAAAGAAAAAAACCATTACCAAATATATTACCATTTTTTAAAAATGAAAATAAAATTAACGAAAGAACCAAAGCAACAAAATTTTTAGGGATACTTAGCGATGAGTAAAATTTATAGCAACTTTATTTCTCTTTTATTTAAACCTATTATACGTCTTTCAACAGCGTTACTTTTTTTATATTTATTATTTGTGCTAAATTTAATATTTGTACTGAAAAAAATTCCTATTATATGTACGATATTTTACTTTATACATTGTAAACGAATCAGTTTATATTATGATCACGTATTTGTAAAATTTTGATAAAAGAACAAAACAAAAAAACAAAAAAAAAATTTTTTTAGCAAAGAATATTTTTTTTCTTTAAAGAGATTTTTTTCCCGGGGATTTTTCCGGGTTTTTTTCCTTCTCGTGGAATTATTTCCGGGGGATTATTTCCGGGGGTTATTTCCTAAAACAGTTGTACCAAAAAGTAGAGCATTTTACTTTAATATCTATATATATATATTTAAAATTAATACTTATTTCATAATAAATCCTAAATTATATTAATAATTTATGAAGTATTCGTCTTTGTTTTGATTTTTTTATTTACATCGATTTAATAAAAAGCAAACAATTAATCTCTTTTCAAAAGAAATATTTCCTACTGTTACGTAAACTTTCTCTTAACTATGTATAAATGCGCTGTAAGAGCTTGCGAATTAAAAAAAGCGTTTTAAAGAAAACTGTTTGTTTTGACTGCCAAGAAATTCCGGTCGATTAACTACAAAAATTAACTCAGGTAAGTTTGTTCTCAGAACTGCTATTCGAAATTGTATTATTGTCGAAAGTAAAAGATTTTGAACTTAACTTTAATAAGTTTTAATTTTATTTACTGAAACGGAAATATTTTTTTTTAACGAAGAAATTTTGGCATAAATATTTTAACAACTGTTTCACAGAACAAAAACATCTATTTTTATAAATATTTTTCTAAAATAAATAAGAATGTTGCTTTGAAACATTAAATATATCTAATATTGATACACATTTTACTATTTCCTTCGTTAGTTGCTGTGTAAAACGACATCGTGAATTATCTTCAGAAGTTAATTTAAAGCTTACTAATTAAATATCTTACGTCATTTTTTTATTCAAAATCATATATTTCGGCGTTTGATTATATTTCTTGTAACTGGTGTTTTTTAAAAAAAATTTTGTAACGAAAATGATCGGAGAAAAAGATGAATATATCGACGATAATAACAACGTCGAAGTAATTGATGAAAATAATAACCAGATTATTTGTTTTGAAAAATCTAGTATTTTAGTTAGTGACGCAGGCTTATTAAACACATTTGTTAACATTTCTAACAAAAATATTTTTAACAAAATATTCAAATGTACAAAAAGACAAATATTTTTACCAGAACCAAACTCGATCGAGAAATTTCAACAACATTACAATGAGGATATATATCCAATTAACACTTATCCTATAGGAAAACTTTTAATACTAAATTATTCTAATTTTCAAACTTTAAGTTTGAAAAACTATCCACGAAAAGGTTCAGAGAAAGACGTTGAACGTTTAAAATGTTTGTTTTTAAAACTTGGTTTTGTTGTGGAGCTATTTGAAAATTTGACAACTTCTGAAACTATCACGGCTGTTGCCAAAAGTACTCGCTGTAAACAAAAGTTTAGTTGTTTTTTTGTAGCTATATTATCTCATGGTTTAGAAAACGAATTTTTTACGGCAGACGACAAAATGCAAATTGATAAAATAGCAACTTTGTTTAAAATCCCTAAATTAGCTGGTATACCAAAAATTTTCTTGATTCAAGCATGTCAAGGATTTATCAGTATGGAAAGTAACAAGGAATCAACAAATCTTGAAACAGCTGATTACGAAGATTTTCGTTCACATTACAAGTTTGTTACCTTGCCAACTGAAGAAGACGTCGTCTATGCTTTTGCTACAGTGTTTGGATTTCGATCCGTTCGAAACACTTTAAAAGGGAGCTGGTTCATCCAAAATATGTGTGATGTCATCAGTCAAAACGTTTCAAAAATGGATTTTTTACAAATGCTAACAAAAGTAAATGCTAAATTATCGTTACTTAAAAGCAAACCTAAAGATTCTAAAGATGACGAAGATTCTAAAGAAAAATCACAAGTCGGTAGTTTTGTGAGCTATTTAACAAAAGAGTTTTATTTTTGTCCTCCTCATGGTCATTAAGCAACATTAACTTGTTCGTAATAGTGATATGCCCTTTAGTGACTTTTTATCAGTTATCAAAATTAACTTTCAAAATAAATTAAAAAAAAATAGAAAATATAAATGAAATTATTTTTTGATACAGTCTAGACTTTTTATCTAATTTATATAACAGTTTTTTTTGCATATAAAACCGAATTCAATATAAGATTTGATTCTGGACTTTAAAGATTTCATTTTTGGTATTTTGACATCTCAAATTCTATTTATATTATTGTTGCATATTTATTACCTGTTACTGCTGTTTGATGCACATTTACTACTTTTACCGCTGTTTTTTATGTTATAAAACTTTTTATATTTTTCATCAGAGTTCTTAAAAATTTACATAAGATTTGTATTATGAATTTATTTATTTATTGTTATTACTATTTTTCTATTTTTAATATAAACGATATACATTATGTAAATATTTTGAACGCATATGTTATATACAACTTCATTTATATAACTAAAAGAATTATTTATTTAATTTTTTTTTAACGTTAAAAACAGGGGTGTAGAGTCGTAAAAAAATAGTAACGACTCCGACTCCGACTCCAGTTGTTGAAATTTTTTGAGTACAACTCCGACTCCATCTCCGATTTCGACTACAACTCCAAAGCAAAGTTTTTGAAAAATTCTTTGAATTCTTTAAAAAATATTACGCAATAAGTTAAAAAATATTTTTTGACAAATTTATGAAACGTTCTTTAAGGTTTAGTATGAACATAAGGTTAATTGAATGTTTTGTACATGCACGTGCAATACCGATAAGTTTTACTATTGGAGTCGGAGTCGCGATTTTGTTTAGCGACTCCGCTAAAAATGGCACAACTCCGACTCCACAGCCTTGCTTAAAAACGTGTATCGAACTTTTTATATCAACAATACACATTTTATTTTTCATATTCACCGAGTATGTATTCATTGATGGACGTGTATTAAACCCAAATTCTCAAGACGTAAAAATAACGTGTAACTAACTGATAACTAACTGATACTTTATCTGAAGAGATATCTGACGTGAGTAACATTTAAGTCAAAAATTAGGTGAAGCGGCGGCTTTCTAATTTTTAGACGTAGTATCCTAAATACAAAAATAATTAAAGCAACCATTGTAAAACATTAATCTACTTAAATTTATGGGATATACATACTTTATTTACTGATCAGACTGCTTTGATCTCACGTGAGTAAAGTTATTTTCATGTTTAAAACTGGCATATCTATTACTATTATTATATTAATTTCTGTTGATGCGCAACTATGAATAATTAACTTTTTCTTCGTTTTCATAAAATCAATTTACTCTGACTTTTTAATTTAATCAGCTCCTCATATATATATATATATATATATATATATATATATATATATATATATATATATATATATATATATATATATATATATATATATATATATATATATATATATATATATATATATATATATATATATATATATATTATTTATAATTTTACAAAATTCGGTTCGGTGTCACTTGTATAGTTAAAAACTAGTTATTGGAGTAACATCTCAATAAAATAAATAAAATAGAGCAAAAGACAAGCCAACAAAAAAAGTAATATAGATAGAAAGTTAATTAAAAGAAGAACAATAATATTTAAAAAAGCAAAACAAATAACACAAAAATTAGGAAATAGTGAATGAGCTGACATGAGAGGTAATGAAAGAGAGAAAACACAACGTTTAACGAATATAAAAAATAAAAAATAAAACTAAAGGATATTTTTATGATGAGACATAAAATATGCAATAAGTTGAATAAAAGCAGAAAACATAAAAAGCAACAATAATATATAAATAGTGGCAGAACTACCATACCACGTAACGCGGAGGGGGGAACTAATCTGTAGAGTGTCTAAAATTTTCGACTTTTTTAAAACTTTTAAATATATATCAGGACCTACGGCACCATTATGTAAGAAGTGGAGGACCGATATCCTTGGCCCCCACTTCTTTTCTAAAGGACTTTTTTTTTTGAAAGTTCTACATATAAAGGACTATTTTTAAAAATTGATGATTGTGCCCTCCACTTCAAAACCCACTTCGTCGGCCATGTATATTTATGCACAAGTTGATGGATACATAAGAAAACAAATGGATGAACACGTAACTAGAAATATAGCACTTTTAAAAATAATGTTTTTAAAAACATTTTCATCAGTTCCATTTTATTCAAATACTTTGATTCAATAATTTTTGTTTTCTTCATTCTTTATTTCTTTCTTATTACGTTAATTTAGCTTTCTTATATTTCTTTGTTGTTTATCTATGGCTGTATATTTTTCTTTAAACAAAAAAACCGTCCGTCAATCTGGAAGCCACTCCAAAGTTTTGAAAAATAAAGCAAAACGTACTGTACTTGTATGTTATTAATTTCCAAACGTTTTAAAACGGAAAACATTGACAAGATGTTGAGCAAAACCAGTGGTGCAGCGAAAAAAAGGAATCTAAAACGACAAGAAGAATATGTTGCTAAAATTTCTAAATTAACTCACTTTTTCAAACCAATTGAAAATAAATCGGACGATCAAAGAACGTCAAAAAGTGAAGATGAATCACAAAAGTTAGAAAATAATGAAACCAATCACATCAAAGACAATAAAACCAATCACATCAAAAATAATATTCAAAATAATTCCAAAGAGGATATATACATCATTGTAGTGAATATTTAAGTAAAAACGCAACAAATTTAACAAAGAATCCGACGGGCATTTGTTTTTAAAAGTTACGATTTAAATGTATTTTAAATGTCTTTTAAACGTCTTTTAAACATTAATGTTTAAAAGACGTTTAAAAGACGTTTAAAATACATTTAGAACGTAACTTTTAAAAACAAATGCCCGTCGGGAAGATATAAATAATAATTCTGAGAATGGTGGATTATTTTCCACTGACATTGCAGATTTTCAGAACAAAATATTAACTGATAATATGAAAAAAATTATTATATTATCAGACTCCTGTCGATCGCGAGGATCTTTTAAACAAGATCTATCACAAAACATCAAAAATATCGTAAGTTGTCAAAAGAATTTTGTAAAACTTTATCAAAGTATGGAATGGTTGAGAGATTGTGGTTATGTTATTCTCCTAAACTAGGTATTGCGAACCTTGAGACTGGCAAGCCGTTTCAAAAAAATTAACATGACACGAAAGTCAGTATCATATGTAATCATGTTACACATATGAAATTGGAAGCAAAATGAAACAATTTTTTAAAATTTTTGAAATTTTTTTATTTAGGTGTCCCAAGAAGACTTAACGGTCTTGTTAAAGAGCACCGCCGAAGCACATTTAACTAGGAAGTTCACGCCTCCTTCCTTATCGTGACGCAAAATATGTCCAAAGCTCGTTTCGAACCTAGATCTCCTGTTTATATAGGAAGCGCTCTAACCACTGCCCCGTGGCCGCAATTGATAAAAGCTTAGAAGAGAAAATTCGATATAAATCAAAAGTTTGGATACTAGTGTTTGAGCGACTTGTTAATATAACATTAGTACTTTCCAAAAATTCTTTAGCTTTTCGTGGTCACTGCAAATCATTTGAGGATGAATATAATGGTACATCTTTTATCAAAATATGCTGTTATGAAATAAGTTTTGAACATGCCCCATGAAAATATTAAATGTTTAAACCGTCAAATCCAGACTGAAATTATTAATTGTCTTGCCACAAGTTTAAAGACAACGTTAATCAATATTATAGGGAAGTTTTTTGGGATTTTACGGAAGTACACAACCACGTACCTCTTGGATTGCATAAAGAAACATTAAATCTGGTTGAAAAGAATAATATATCATTAAATAAGGGAAGAGAAAAATACTTGAAATAGAGCATATGTTATACGTCAGGCTTTAAATGGTGTTCAGTCTCTTCTTAAACAAGATGCTGTAAAAAATTGCCACGAAGTTTCGACAGTTTTCATAACTCTAGAAAGTATTTATGCATTTTTAGGCAATAGTGTAAAAAGGTGTGACCAATTACCACAGTTTATAGGTGAGTCTCAGATTACACTTAAAAGATTGGGAGGATATGTACTTCACTTTTGGCAGTCAAGCTTCGTTTTGTGGATACAATAAAAGCGCTTGCTGGATTATCCATAAGAAGTCAGAAAAAATAAAAAAGCGAAGAAGTGGCTTCAGAAAAATAATGAGTACACTTAAATTTGTATTTCTATGCGTAACGAGTTCAAAGATTTTGATTGAAAAAAAAGTTACCTTCAAAATTGTAACAAACAAAAAGTCTAGATCTCATGACTGCAACCATTGCAAACTGCTTGCAAACATTTCATTGCAAACTGCTTGCAAACATTTCATTGCAAACTGCTTGCAAACATTTCATTGCAAACTGCTTGCAAACATTTCATTGCAAACTGCTTGCAAACATTTCATTGCAAACTGCTTGCAAACATTTCATTGCAAACTGCTTGCAAACATTTCATTGCAAACTGCTTGCAAACATTTCATTGCAAACTGCTTGCAAACATTTCATTGCAAACTGCTTGCAAACATTTCATTGCAAACTGCTAGCAAACATTTCATTGCAAACTGCTAGCAAACATTTGAAATAATTCAGAAATATATATTAATTAGCAAAAGACAAAGCTATTTAAATGACGGCCAAATGGAATATTAATCCAAAAACATTTTGATGAACTATCGAGTAGTCATCGTTTTTGTAATGAAGATCTTTTGCATCAGTGTATTTAGTAAAGTTTTAGATGAAGTTATAAGTCAAATAGACAACAGATTTAAAGGAATGCAGGCAGGGTTGTCCCTAAGGGGAAGGGGGCGTAGGGATGTCTAGTCCCCTTCGAATTTTAATAGTCGGCATATTGGACACTGGAATTGGCAAAACTGGATCTATAGTTGGCAGCCAAAATTTGTTTGGCTTTAGTTGGCAAAAAACAGATACGTCACCCTATCCTATTAAAATCTCTTTGGAATGGCCGTAGATTCATGAAGTTTCAAATTTATTAGCTTTCATGGTACAAACTAAAATAATAGAAATGGAAGAATCAGAAATTTTAAAATCAGCTGATGCACTTCAATTAAAGCATAACGGTGATCTTACAACAGAATTTCCACTACGAACTGTAATGGTGTCTACTATGCTTAGGAAGAAAATTGTTAAAATTACAAGCATGAAAGATTTCGCGGAGCTATTAATGATTAAATAGGCTACAATATCTGTATGTTTCCAGCTATTAATGATTAAATATGCTACAATATCTGAATGTTTTGCAGACATAATTGCCGCACTGGTGTTGTTCATGATGCTTGCAGTCATTGTGGCTACCGCAGAGAGATCGTTTTTAAAATTGAAGATAATAATAAATTATATACGCAGTTCTACAGGCAAAGAACGTTTGGCAGGCAAAGAGCAAAATCTTTCTATATTAGAAATTGAACCAAAACTATGGAAATCAAAGACGTG